TTATTTCTTACTGAAAACTACTTTGAGGTATTTCAGTTAGCCACTTATTCATCCATTTAATGTGCACCCTATTGATATCATATAATGCTAATTTTTTAATTCAGAATATCATGAGGTACTAAATCAAATACCTTACAAAAGTCTACATATATTACATCTACAGTTACCTTTATCAACCAAACTTGTAATGTAAAATAATTAAAGCAGATTTGTTTGATAAGACCTAGTTTCCACAAAACCATGGTCACTGGCATTAATTATATTCCTATTCGTTAACAGTTGAATCTTATACCAGCTTTTCTTTTATTTTGCCTGAGACTGATGTTAGACTAATTGACCTATAGTTACCCAGATCACACCACTTGCTCTTTTTGAATACTGGCACAATATTAGCACTCTTCCAGACTTCTGGAATTTCCCTGGTATTCTAAGATTTATTAACAATTTATACCAGTGGGCCAAAGATCTCCTCAGACAACACTTGCAGTTGGCTGAAAGTTATCCAGGCCTCCTGATTTAAAAACAGTATCCTTAGCAGATGATGACACCCTGCTTAGTTACTAATGAACTAGACAGTACTTCATCATCCCCTTGTGATACAAGTACATCCTGTGTCTTTCCAAATACAGAAAAGGAATATTTATTGAACACTTCTGCCCCTTTTGCACCATTATTAACAATGTTACTATCTCCATGTAGTAATGGGCCTATACCATTATTAGAATTTCTTTTGTTCCTAATGTATTTTTAAAACTCCTTATTGTCTTAGTCCTACCAGCCATAATTTTTGCCCTTTTGTCTTGTTTCCTTTATCAATTTTTTATACTTCATAACTTCTAATTTATATTGATTACTATTTATTTCCCTTTTTTTCCATGTTACATATTTCTTTATTACTAATTTCTCTGAGGTGTCAAAGGGGAGAAAAAAATGGTAATATCATTCCCCTCACCTTAGCGAGAAACCTATCGGACTCCAAGTGAAAGATTCTGTTTTGGTCTTCTGTCACTTATGTCGTGCTTTTTGTTCTCTGCAACCCTCAGAGACAGCCTTCCAACTATGCCCAAAGTCCAATTAAATTAGCCCAACAATCAGGTAACCAAGCAATCCTTAATTCCCTGTCACCCATACCCCACATTTATCACTTCTCTGCACAAGCACAATTCCCCTCCTCCACACAGTGCTTCATTTACCGATGATAGTACCCTAGAATACAATCCCCTTATTACTCAGTTGAAAGTATCTGAGAACCCAATTTCTATCCCCCCACACACAAAAATTTATTTTTATCCAATTTTACGCCCTCCAACTGCAACTCTAGCCATTCCCTCTGACCTCATTGAAGCTCCCCACTAAACCCAAGATCTGTCAGCTTTATTGCTAGTCCTTACAGATACAGCCTTGTAATCCATTCACCCCCTTCCTTTCCTGGATATTGCCACCTCACCAAGTCCTAAGCCAAAAGTATTTTAGTTCAGCCTCCCTTGCTATGAGATGATGATCAAACTGCAAAGGTATTTTCAGTCACTCTCTCCAGGAACCCACCCACCCTTCGTCTTTATGCCAGTTCCCCTGAAGCAGTCTGCTCCAGTAACTGCCACACTCACATAGCACATGCTCCCTCTTGCTTCCTGCAGTAAAACACTGCATAGCTCCACTGTTTGATGCCTCTCTGCTGCTGCTTGTCCTCCACGAACACCAGTAGTACTCTGTTCCGCTCACCTCCCAGGTACTGGTCCTCACATCTGGATTCCCTGGCCTCTTCCTGACCATGGCTCCAAGGGTGTCTCCTGCCCCATCACTCAGCTTTGGACTGCAGCTGAGCCAATATCCTTTTGCTGATGTGACGACAGACTGTTCCTCCCATCTCCAGGTACTCAAGTCATCACAGCTCACCAGTGGATCCTGGTCATGCCCTCAGCGAACCAATTTAGCCATACAGTCATCTCCCGCAACGGGGATAGATTTCCTCTTGCAGTAGCCTGCACAGGGCCTCTCTCTGCTAACAGCAGAGTCCTCCACTCACCACGAACTCCGCCACAGTCTGCCAGGTAGCACCTTCATCAGGCTTGTTCGGCATTAGTGCCCCTTCCTGGGGGCCCACACTCCTCCCCGCACTCAGCTCTGCCCTCCACCTGCCCGCTCCTGGCACCTCTAAGGCCTCTTGTTCTCCATGTTCTCCTGCTGCCCACCAGTATCTAGTACTCCCAGGTGCCTCATGGTCTGTTGAGTGGCTCAACCCACGGCCCTGGCAGCAATCTCCCTCTGCGGCACATCAGAGCAGCTACAGGAAGCAGGATCTCCAGACTCCTAGCTGAACCCAGGCGAAGAGGCACAAGAAGAGGGCCCAGGACTCAGACATACAGGTGGGATCAGACAGTCAGATCTCTCCAGAAGTCTGTTTTCTTTCAGGAAAAGTTAAAGGAAAAAGATTTTATATTTATTTCTTTTATTCTTTTGCTCGGTGCCACTTTAAAGCCCTCAAGCAGGGCCTTAAAGCACCAGACAGTTCAGCTCCAACTAAAACCTCTGTTAACCATTCAGTTTCCAACTTTTTAGAATAGTCCTATGAAGGGAATAGGGTGGACTAGGATATATGTATCATGCAAGGGATTGTCTTACCCACAAGCTCTACCCATTATATATATTAATCTATATCTACTAGCCCTTCCCATCCACTGTTAGAATATTACGTCTGTCACAAGACAAGTGCTATCCAGGGAAATTGCTGGAAAATAAAATTTGACATCCTAATATCCAGGACATCTTATGAACCAGCTGAAAAAGTTGTCTGACTTCTAGACACCTCTAGCCATGATGCAGTCTATCACTGAATTTTTGGGAATGAAGGAGATCACTTCATAACCCAAAGCCATTCTTCTGCCAATCATGTCAGAAGATGGAAGAACAGCATGAAAGAGGAGAGAAATAAATCAAGATGTTCAAGCATGAATGTTTGTCTGCTTCCCTTAGGCCAAAGAAACAGGGTAATCCTTGTCTTGTGCTTCAACATCTTTGTTGCAACCCTTCCGAGTAGGCATAAACTGGAAGGTGCTAAGAATGAGAAAGCAAGAGGGTCCCTATTAAAGTTCCTATCAAACAGGCATCCTGAGGCTCCTGTACTGGGGTTCTCCATCACAGTGACAGCAGTCTTCGTACAGTAACTCCTCACTTAAAGTCATCCCAGTTCATGTTGTTTTGTTGTTATGTTGCTGATCAATAGGGAACATGCTCGTTTAAAGTTGTGCAGTGCTCCCTTCTAACATCTTTGGCAGCCGCCTGCTTTGTCCACTCCTTGCAGGAACAGCAGCCCATTGCAGCTAGCTGGTGGGTGGTCGGAACCAGGGTGGACCGGCAGCCTCCCTACCAGCTTTCAGACTCCCCTAAATTCCCTGTGCAGCATCAGCAGGCTATCAACTGCCAGCAGTTCAGCTGTCCCTCCCCCACTGCCATGTGCTGCTCCTGTCCTCTGCCTTGGAGCTGCTCCCCGAGCCTCCTGCTTGCTGTGTGGGGGGGAGGGGAAGAAGAGGGGGGGGGGGCTACTGTCAGGGTGTCCCCCTCCCCTCTACCCCTGCACCCCGCTTACCCCATCTTCCATACAGCAGGGGGGATACAGGGATGGAAGGAGCGGTCTGTGGTCTGGTCTCAGCTTGCTGATCTAATTAACAAGGCAGTGTACTTCTGACCCCACTCTTCATACTTAAAGGGGAAATGTGCATTTCTGTCTCTCAAACACACACAGGGTGTGTGTGTCTCTCTCTCTATCTGCCCTCCCTCCTTTCCTGTTGCTTTGTAGAGTGAGAGAGTTAACCTTTAAGGGCTCAGCCAATTGCTAAATTCATCATTTAGCAGTAAGGCATTCCCTGGGAAATATCCCACCCTCTGACTCCTCCACCTCAACCAAGCTTCACAATCATCATCACTGTGTACCAGTATTAAATTGTTTGTTTAAAACTTATACTGTGTATATATATATATATATTATATACACTATATAATACAGTCTTTTGTCTGGTGAAAAAAATTTTCCTGGAAACCCCCTCACTTACATTAAGTCTTATGGGGAAATTGGATTGGCTTAACATCGTTTCACTTAAAGTGGCATTTTTCAGGAACATAACTACAATGTTAAGTGAGGAGTTCCTGTACTGAATTATTTTGTCAAAAAAGCAGGGGCTAACTTCCAATACCATGTTCAGCTCTGGAAGAGTACAGTAGAGCAGACATCCTTTACAGAGAAAGAGCAAGATTCTGTTATATCCCTGTTTATAGTTCGAAGTACCTTACAAAGCATGCTTACAGCAGGGCAAATTACAGGTCTTCCTAACCTAGCTACTCACCTGAAGCACTGTAGATGAGGACTATACCCAGAACCACAAGCTCAACAGAAGCAGTAGGTGTTAAGAAAAGTCAGACTGACATCAGTATATTTATATGCCAGATGACACTTTATGGGAGCAGTACCTATCAGAAAAGTACCAGAAGCAGGGTGGGCTAGCATAGAAAGGCCAAACCTTGAGAACTATTGAGAAAAGCATTAATTCATTCCCCAATGGGCAGGGGCAGGGGAGCTGCTGTTCTTCCTTGTTCCTAGAAGGGAAACAAAAGATAAGAGGCTGGAGTGCCAAAATGTGCACTCCAGCTGCCAGGACAAAGGAAGAAAGACTGAAGAGGAACATCTGGGACCAACTCGTATAGGCTGTTCGAGATTGATATTTATTTTGTCTATAGGTTGCTTGTTCATATGACTATGTGGGAAATGCTTTTTTTTACATTGGGATAAAATACATAACAAAATCATATGTCTAACAAAATGACATTTCTTTAATAATGTCTGTCACTAGCTTTTCAGTTAGTGGAAGGTACACAGTTCACTACAGGCAATTACTAATGTCTTTATGAACTCTCCATCCACTACAAACATGATTCTATTTACTATTATAAGAACCAAGGAAAAAAGCTACACTTACATATGTTAGAAATAGGTAGTTCAAACTTACCTTTGGATTTTGGAATCAACTCTCCACAACTCAGTATTCGTACTTCAGCATACGGTTTACTAGATGCATCTGTTTTCTGGTTTTCTATCTCTCTCACAACTTCCTGTCCTGTGATGACTTGTCCAAAAACAACATGAAGTCTGAAGTTCAAAAAAAATAAATAAAAAAAGATAAAATGCAGGTTTTCTACTGCAATAAAAGATTTAAAATATTTAGCATCTCAAATTTTCAAAGCAGTGTCCACTTCACAAACACAAATAAAGGAGATAAGATATTTACCCATCTAAGTGAGGTGTAGGCTTGGTTGTTCTTTTGATATCATCAAAAGGAATAATTAAAACAAAGAGAAAAACAAAGTTAGCACCCTTTACAAAGGAAACAAAACTGCATTCAAAACAAAAGTGCATGTATTAAGTTAAAAGTTATTTTGAATGAACTAATAAATTAAGGATTGTTTTGTTCAATTTTATAACAGTTATGTAGTTATAGTTTAAGTATCACTGAATGAAACATTACATAAGGTTCCTACTAAAATCCTTACTTTGATAAAAAAAATTAAGTAAATGAAGATATTCTAGCATTAATCCAATTTTTAGATAGTATCTTGTATACATACATTACAAAATTCTATTACTGATTCAATCATACGAACAATTGAGGGCAGATTTAAAAAGAAAATTAATCTGATTCTCAGAAGAGACTGCAAGTAGTCTTATAGTCATTAGAGAAGGAAGCAGTGGGAAGTCAGAAAAGAAAAAAAAACAACTAGGCACCAGCTTCATGACATTTGATGTAGCTCTAGAATGGACTTAAAGAGTCTTCAAGGAGAGCTTTATACCTACAGACAATGCATGTGATTCACACAAGCTCCTATAGCCCACAGGTCAGGGCTGGACATTCCACGGCATGCAAGTATCAGTCATGAGAGAAATCATAAGCTGGGCTGAAAGAGGCTAAAGATCTGTCAGCAAGCCAAAAATAACTGTCTACTTTTAGATGATGCATGCGACTTATCACATTAATTAAATTTATCAATTATAGGTAACGGGATCAATTTCAAGAAAGAATTTTTTCTGGAGATAAGCCTGATTCAAAGGAATCTCTCTGTTGTAGATATGTTGTGATAAATTCAGCCTTAGATTTATTATATGTGGTGATAAATTTAGCTTTGTGGTTATTTTTTCCTTGAAAATGAGATTGCTCTTAGAATGATTTCCAAAAACCAGAACTTCACACACACACACACACACACACACACCCCCCTAACCATGATCCCCAGAGCTCTTCCCATCCAAGACTCTAAGCTGACAAGACACGTTACATAAAATTGAGTAAAGTTTGCTGAGAACATCAATTAGCTTTGCATTACTCGCCGAAGTTAGAAGCAGGTAATGAAATGTTTTTCTATATATATGAGAAGCACTCATCTAAAACAACAAGACGTGCTAAAAATGATCAGTTTATCTCCAAGATAGGCATTTTTAGGAGGTAGCTATTTTACATAGAGCTTCAAATCTGGAAAACCAGTTCACATTTGATAAATGGAAAAAGGTTTAGTTTTTTTTTAAACAATTAAATTATTACTACAACCTTAACGTTGTAAGCAACATGCATATCAGAATAATACAATACTTACATAAAGAACTGTGAACCGTTTGTATCTTTCCCTCTGTTGGCCATTGACAGAAGAAATTCTTTGTTGTGCTTTACAGCAAAGCTTTCATCTAGAGAAAGTGTTTTTGATTGCTTTAAAATACCAAATATTTACTTTGTTCTATTAGTTAAATGGCATTTAGCTATTTTTCCCCTCAGCCAACCCAGATAAATTTATCACTGCAGTAAAGAGCATTAAAAAAATTAGTTTCAAAATAAAGTATATTATGTCATGTCCTTGGGATACATTATGCTTCACATTCTAATGCCTAGAATTTAAAGAGGAGAAAAGTAAATGTACTTTCTTATTTTCACCTGCCTATTAATTGTAGTTATGATATGAAGAGTGATTGTAAAAATGGAACTCTTAGTCAACAGATGTACTTCCTGCATATACTCATGCAACATCTGAGTATAGTAAGAGCAGGTCTTTGCTATTTCTCACTCTTGTTGGCACATGCAGATCCACACATCTTTGGAAGACCAAAATGATGATGTTTTTTCTAGCTCATGCATCATCAATATAATTTTTAACTATGTTTTGATGAAGAATTTTTATTAATGGTGGTGATCCAGTTTGGTGTCAAGCCAAATAAGCAGCTTTACTTTCAGATACCAGGATGAGTTTACAAAGAGCTTGCTGTTAGAAAAATAAGTTTACTTAAGATGATCAAGTTGGATACGGAAGTCACAAAATTAATCAGGTTTAGAATAGATATGTACAAATGTAAGTCTGATAAAGTTGACAAATTTGAATCAGAACAGCTTGATCCTCATTTAGACACAAACATTTTCTGAACAAAATAGTGAAGTAAACAAAATACACCTTTATGGCCCTCATACTGCCATCAGATCAGATAGCAAAGACTTCTGCGCCCATGCAGAACCCAAATAAACCAAATGGGACTCAGATTTGATATGCACAGACCCCAGATGATTGTAGGAGCACGACCATGGATTACAAGTTTAATATTTATAAGACAGAACATTTGAAAAAGGTTTAGATTGGCTTGATAAAAAAAACTTTACCTTCAAAAAAACCACCATAAATGGATTCTCCTCCTCTCCCATTTCCTTGAAAGAAAATACACTGTATTACAAATAAATGTAGTGAAAGTATAAATCATTTAAAGTTCAAGATGTGCCTACTGACTCCTAAAGAAAGTATCATAATATAAAAGATATTTCAATTATTGCATCCAAGTCAAAATATCTTCAAGAACAGTCAAATAGGAAGCTACATCTTGACAGTCTGCGTAAGTAGAATGGGACTGAGAAAATGCAGGCTGTGGCTTTTCCATTTATTCTGCATTGTCTCACACATTTCTAGATCAAGCTAGGACTACTACTGGGAAATACAATGTTTTACACTGCATTACACTAAATTTTTTCACTGGGAGGCCACACCAAGCTATAAAGAGAATGGAACTGAAAGCTATTTATAAATATGTTCTTATTTGAAGGCCCTATTCAGCACACCTTACTCGAAGAACACACACCTTAACAACACACAGTCAACAGACATTTCATCTGAATGTAGGATGCTGAATAGGACCCTTAAAAATATCTTACTATTTAAAAACTGGAGTTTTCTTTTAAGGCTGTGTCCTACCTTCACTGAAGTCACCTCCTTGGATCATAAAATCTTTCACAACTCGGTGAAACAGACAACTTTTGTAATGCAGTGGCTTCTGGGTCGATTTTCCGGTACCTTTTTCACCTAAAAGGGAGAGAGGAAAGAGACATGGAAGGAAGGGGCGGAATTAAAAAAAAAAAAAAAGATACTTTGCATTTGTGCAACACCTTTCATTGGAGGAGCTCCAACAGTCTGACTAACATTAACTATTAAGTCTTGCAAATCAGTTTGAGAAGTAGGCAAACATCTGTTTTGTAGATGGGAACACACAAATAGATTAAGTCCAAAGCTGGCCAAGGATTTTGGTTCTCATTTTCTCAGTACCCATCTTTCAGAGGTGCTGAGTGTTCACAGCTCCAAATGAAGGTCTTAGGAGCTGTGTATGCCCAGCACATCTGAAAGTCAGATCCCAGGTGTCAGGTTGGGCACTCAAAACTTGGGTTACGCCATTTCAATACCCATTTTTGAAAAATTTGGCCAAGGTAACTTGGCCAAGGTAACTTGCCCAAGGTCACAAAGGAAGTCTGTGGTGAAGCTGTAGATAGGACATAAGTCTCCTAGGGAAATTTACCAGCATCACTCAGAAACTTAAATGTATTATCATTCCAGAGTAAGACTGACTACATGGGGAATTATACCAGTATAACTATGGTGGTAAAATTATACTTGTATAAATTTTCCTGTCAAGACAAAACCTAAAAGACTACTCCTAAAAGGCTAACACACTGCTGGTCTCAATAAGTACAAAGTCTGAAAGGCAGGTAACTGAACGAACACTAAAATTAAAAAAGCACTACATTGTCTCCTATAATCCAAAGACAAGTTTTTAGACATTTGAAAAAATCCTGCAAAGGTTCCACCACTTTCAGAAAGTTGAGTATATCTTTCTCTGGACTGATCGCCAGAAGAAAACCTAAGAAACAGATTCCTAGTCCCCTGCTCTAAACACTTTTGACCATACACATTCCCAATGTTTCAATAATAAGATCAAATTCCAATTCTGAGCTTGAACTATTTTATGTGCACATATATTACTTGTTTCTGACATGGAAGTGATAAGCAAAAACTCGTGAGATTGAAATGTAATAAAAATATTGAAGGGGAAGACGGTGGGAAATGTTGGAGATGGAGGAAAAAACAAGCGAGTTTCTATAAATCCACTACTGTGATGAACTAAGTTTTTAGTAGAAAAATTTGTTAAAAGTTACCTTGGAAAAAAGGTGATGGAGGTTGGAGAAATCTGGGTCAGATTCACAATCACCATTTAAAACACTGTTTTATTTTAATGACTAGGCTTGGACTCAATATCAGTATTCTTCAATTAAAGTAACAATTCAGCAGGATAAAAATGCCATTTCAAAAATATTTCCATGATAGGTTTTTGTAAGGACTGGTAATTTGACTAAGAAACAGGGAATTTGAATTTAATTTGGGATTAGAGATTGCCACACATCTGTTACAAAGACAAAACTTGTGGCACCTTAGAGACTAATCAATTTATTTGAGCATAAGCTTTCGTAAGGTGCCACAAGTACTCCTTTTCTTTTTGCGAATACAGACTAACACGGCTGTTACTCTGAAAAGAAAAAACTAAAGGGGATAGTTAAGAAGTGGATGGCCAATCTTAGAAAACAAAGGCCACGAATATTAGTGGTAGTTCAGTATATCACAGGAATCAGAAGATTCCATTAATGCTCAACTTCCTGACCTTTCACTGTCTACCTTTATTGTATGCTTATCAGTTTCAGGATTAATTAATATTATATAGTTTCAGCCAGCACAAACTGATTTAAATAACTGATTTTAATCATGATTTAAATCAACAAGCAGAAAAACTTGATTAAAATCATCAATTTTAATCATGTTTTGCATTTGTACTTTCTACTAACTTTTCTAAAGAAAAGCTGATTCTCATTAGGTGGTAACCGTTAAAACATGTTGATTTGCAATTAAATAAAACCATTTACACCAACATTGGTGCTTCTTTTTGCTAACAAGCAGGATACACACACTCTCTCTCCACATACACACACACACATTAATTTAATCAATTATATAACTTAACTTGCAATTATTAAAGCCTTAATTTTTACATTTTTATTATGTTAGAAAACAGTGAAATTTTAGATTATTCTTTTTTACTTGTGATTTATGTCAAGCTCTATTTGGATGGAAATTCAAATTCAATTAAAATGCACAAAATCAGCATTTTAATTATTTTATTATTAAATAAAACTACTTAAAGTAGATATAAGACAAAGTTCATAAAATATGTTTTGCATTTAAAACTAATTTATTAAACAAAAGGAAGTATTATCTGTAGTTAGTGAATTGAACTGATTGTTTCTGGTCACCAAGTCCTTCGAGATTTTAGAACTAATAAATCTCATCCTATCATACACATTTTTATTCATAGATTCAATCTGGTAAACTAGTCCTACTTTTTTCATCTCCTTTGTTTTTTTACTTTGAATTAACTGAAATGAAGAAAACATTCTCTCTGCACTTGCAGTAGAGGCTACAGCTGTCAAAAGCTGGTTCCAGGTGTTTAGCCAGTGACTTACACCGAACCAGTGATTTGACTTTCTTTAAAACTTACCAGCAAACATACTGCTTAATATTTTTTTGATTTTAAATTAATGATTTTAATAGATTACAGTAAGTTTAAATCTTAAAACATGTTGTAAATGTCATATTTAATTTTAAATAGGTTTATTTAAAAAAATTGTATTTAAATTAAAAGAACCCAATTTAAATACAAAATTCTAATTTTCTATTTTTTTTTTTAAAATTGATTTTTATCCAGCCTGCTTTCAACAGGATTTTTGAGGGCTGTTGCAGTTAGCCTGACACTCCAGTATCTAAGTTGGATTAGCATATGCTCCACGTACTAATTGATGCCACAACTGCAAGTGCTTCAGTACACAAACCTTGCATTAAATGCACACAAGACACCAATGTTAAACCTCTACAGAGACCAAGACACATTATTTTAAAGTCTACCTTCATTTTCTGGTATGCAAAAAGTGATAATCATTGGATGTCTACAGGGGATTCTGTCGAATATAATAATTCACAATATGAAACTAACCAACAATGAATTAAGTTAAAAATCATAAATATCTACGAACCTGTGCAAAGGCAGCGAAAATTCTCACACGTCTTTGGGCACACATCAGAAAACAATTCAAAGACCACTCTTCCAGCTGAAAAAAATCCCACACATTTATAAAGTTAAATTAGACTTGTCTTCATTTGACCATTAAATATTTATATTGCTATAACATTATATAGCTTAGAAATTATTCTTCTCACCAGGTACATTGTTGATGGCTATGTCAAAAAAGCAACGTGGCCGCTGGACCTTGATTCCCATGGCTTCAAAAGTTTAAAGACTGTAAACAACAAAAATATAAAAACCTTTGAGTTTTCTCCTCTGTGTATTGAAACTATATATTCACTTGATCTTGACCAAAAAGCTTTTTATGAAGGAAAAAAAGGTGTGATCATCCTGATACATAAATGAGCAAAACTGAGTGTTGACATGTTGAAAAAGGTGGCCTTTTTGCTCTCAAGCCGTTTTAAATATGAAAGTCTATGAGTTGTTATTTTTCCTTTTGTCCTAAAGACCAAAGATTAACTTAAAAACAGTTTTCTGTGCATATTCAGTTCAACTTTACGTTATTACCAACTCTCACAAAACTTGCTGGAGCTTTAAGAGAAACACAAAATACTGCATTTTTCCTGCTACACCAATCAAGGTGGTATTATTGTATGTATTACAATAGCATATTGGAGTCCCAGTCATGGACCAGGGTGCCACTGTATTAGATGCCATACAAACACAGAAAACAAAAAGACTGTCCCTGTTTCAAAGACTAAGAGTTTACAATCACCAATTTTGGTGAATCAAAGAGATCAAAAGATCTCTTTTTATTTTAAAAAAATTCCAGTTGTCATCGTTGCAGAGTAAAGCTTGTAAACGTGAATGAATGTATTCTAAAGGCTTAATAATCCACTATTTTAAAATCTTGTGATTTAAGCCAATCTCGGACTTTGGGGGGGGACAGACTCATGATTTTTGAATGCTTGGGTTTGGCAATACTGACTTCATTCATGTTTTCTTTGATAGTTTTTTAGAGGAAAGCATACAAGAAAACTGCAAGGGAGACTAAGGCATCAGTTGATGAGAATGTCATTTAACTTCCTAACCGGCTTTATAAGAACATACTTGAAAAATGAGAGGATTTGGAAAAAAGTGGGAACAAGACAAACATCTTAGGATCTTCTGCTCTCCTAGTTGGGTAAAAGGTTAAGACCTAGTAGAGTACTTTGATAATTTGCTCCCAGAAGCCTTGGATCTTCAGACCCAAGGCTGAATCAAGTGGCTAAGGGGGCATGAGGTGGAGAGAAGGAGTTAACTTTAGGGCCAAAGGACTGTGCACTCAGGCAACTTATTAAGACTACCTCTGAACTATTTGCCAAGAAAAACAAACAATTCCCTAGTATGACAGACAAATTCTTACTGGCCATAATAAGAAATCAGAATATTTTTGCAGGACTATTCAGTATACAGAAGTCAAATGGCACAGATTTACATAAGACGGACATTAAGTTCCTATTAAAGTACCATATGTGGAGCGGAAAATGAGATACTCCTGAGATTAAATTGGAAGAGATGCAAGGTTCACTGAGGTTTTAAACTTACACCAAATAAATAAAATTGACTAGCCTAAAAAAAAAATGCTGCATATGACAAACACTTGGATCCTGGGTTACCCTTCACTATTTATACTGAAAAGGGAAGCAGCATAGCTATTTGTTTACACCTTTTGCGACAGCTGCTTACAGAGTTTACAAGGCATATGGTCCCTGCCTTGTAATAGTTGTCCACAGTTACTGATATACATCTTTCAGCCTATGGACTTTGTAATTCCTGAGCAGCAGAGCTGGGCATATAACTGATTTTTCAGTTTGTTGGCAGTTAAAAAAATATATTTTTGGAAGAGAAGTTGGGTTTGGGTTGAACTGAATTCAAAAAGTGTAAAAAACAAACAAACAAACAAACAAAAAACCCTTCAGCAAATAAAGAAGTGTCCATTTGGAGCATTTTTAAAGGGCTAAATGCACAAAACAAGTGGAGGCAGCAGTGCCTCCCTTATAACCATTAGGCCTAATAGTTAGAACACTCACCTGGGATGTGGGAGACCAAAGTTCCATTTCCCCTCTGCCTGATATGGAGAAGTGATTTGCACTCAGGTCTCCCACATGGCAGAAGAGTGCCCTAATCACTGGGTTTTGGGATATTCTGGTATAGGTTTATCTCAGTTGCTCCTGTTGAAGCTGTTCCACTGCATCTAAACAATTAACGTTACTGGAACAAGGAATTGAACTTGGATCTCCCACATCCTAGGTGACTGACCTATAGAGTGGTTCTCATTCTCTTTTCCTAGCCCAATGACTATTCATTGTCATTATGAAAGACTACGAATTGCCATTAATGCAAAATAATCACTGGGATAAAGGTTATAAGGCACCAACACCTCTTCTTCTGGCCATTTTGTGAATGGCCCCCAAGTCCTTCCCACCTCCTCCCCACCCCAAATATTTGCCCAAAACTATTCAGTGAATTTGAGTCAGCGCTGATTGAGTCCAGTGGAGGGACTTAGCAATCTTTTACGTGATAGGCTATTCCTGTGATTGTTGTAAGCTGCATTAGTTATACTTTATACATTGATTGAAAAAAATAAGCAACACTTTGTACTTTACTACTTTGTACTGTTAAATTCCTTACAATTGTGTAAGATGGGCAAAGGCCACTGCAGAAATGTCAGACTGGGACTTGTGCTATAAACACCAAAAAACTAAGGGTCAAAATGTAAAAATAGTTTATCATGATCCATCAAATCATTGACAATATTGATAGGGTTAGCCCTAAACATTTAATGTTGCAAATATTTTTAAGATGCCTATCACTCTAGTATCCAGGAGCTGCTCTAATTATAACGCAGCCCAACCCTTTTTATTGGTTTCTTTTAAAAACAGAATACATCTTGAGTAGGTAATTGTAACAGTTTTTCATTAAGCTTTATAGCAATCAATAAACACATTTTCAGCTTTTTATCTCCTGTGTTTGTTCTTTCCCTTTCATGGCACTGTTTCTTTCTTTATGTTGACTATCTGGTGTGTCTTTTTCTGTCTGTGTTTTAGTATATGTTCCTTCTTTATTAGTTTTCAGTAATAAAAATAATTTTTCCCTCATTTCATTCCACAAGAGTCACTCTTCCAGCGCTGTGCCCTTTGCCAATACTTTCCTTCTACTATCATCCGCTCTCTTGGACCCTATTGCCCTCTCTCCTGGGCTCCACTCTATAACACAGTGACTGAAATGAAGACAAATTCTTTTCTATGAAGGAGAGACTGCAGCCAGCATATGCGTAGAAAGTATTACATTATAATTTATTGTCAGTTACCAAAAATGTCTAAAGTTATTGTCATATTGAGCACTATATACCCTTACTCATATTGATGGATAGTAAGTTGGAGTTCAGGTTAAAAGTTAGTTTTATGGAACCTTAAGTCTCAATTCCTTGACCTTAACAAAAAGCCATGAAACATTTTCAATATTTTAAACAAACGAACATATTAGAATGTCAGAGGTGAATTTCCAACTTTAAAGTTTTTATGTGGAAATTATACAAAAATGTTGCATACTTATTAGGCCATTAATATTAATCTAAATCTGTTTCTGCATTTAACGATTCCAAGTATCCTACTGTAGCCTGGCACACCATCCCTGATATCCTAGCTTGAGTTTTTACAATGATTCAGACCAAGAAAATTCCTCAAAATATGTTATCTACAAATAAAGTTAAGTTCTCTCATATTATAATTATTAACCTGGCAGTAACTCCCCAAATGCACCCACTGAATAGCATAGTAAAATGGTAGCCACACTAACATATACACTCTCAGAGGTCCAGCAGGAATGCAGATTCAGCACATGGCATCCTCAGGTTGCCCTACAAAGGAAATCAACAGGTTCCAGTTACTGAAATTTGATTAATCTGATTTTACCAGAAGTTTGTGAGAAATTCTCATACTTTCTGCATTGTTGTGGAGGGCGGTGATCGTGCAGCTGCCTCCTCAAATGAAGACAGAGTAAACTGGAGTCAGTGTGGTCCTGTAGCAGTCTAGCAGAGAGTCTGAACTGAAAAGACTAATAAGGAAGCCCAAGCTGCCTTCTGCCTACATTGTGGAGGAATGAATATGTCTAAATCATGAATAACCTCTGGATCAGTGCATGCCATGCATAAGAAAAAAACAAACTCATTTGCTTTTTAAAATGAAACAAAATTTTACTTACAAGCTACTAGAATCAGAAATAAAATAAAGTATTCTAAATCTTTCTATCATGAAGATGATTTAACAAAAGAAAAATGTAAATTATCTTTAGAAAAAATGTTTGCCTTCTAATACAGTTTGCACTGGCTCACTAACTTCTTGAAGCAAACAAAATAGTATCCTTAGGACAACGCATATGTAGAGAGATACAGAAGATACTCCTGGGGGAATTCTGTGCTACTGCGCACGTGCACAATTAATGAGCCCTGCATATTTTTAAACTTTTGCACAGGAAAAAAAGCTTCTGGTGAAATAAAAGGAGTACTTGTGGCACCTTAGAGACTAACCAATTTATTTGAGCATGAGCTTTCGTGAGCTACAGCTCACTTCATCGGACCTTAGAGACTAACCAATTTATTTGAGCATGAGCTTTCGTGAGCTACAGCTCACTTCATCGGATGCATCCGATGAAGTGAGCTGTAGCTCACGAAAGCTCATGCTCAAATAAATTGGTTAGTCTCTAAGGTGCCACAAGTACTCCTTTTCTTTTTGCGAATACAGACTAACACGGCTGTTACTCTGAAACCTGTCATTCTGCTGAAATGTTGCTGCAGTTCCACCTTTCGCCCACCAGAGGGCGCGGTGGCACAGGAGAAGCAGCAGCTCCCAGGAGAAAATAACATCTGCGGTTCTGCCTTTTGCCCACCAGAGGGCCCTGTGGCGAAAGAACAAAGCAGCAGCTTCCTGCCAGCAAGGGAAGAGAAAGAGCTGCCTTCTTCGCAGTGGGCCAGGTCAGGAGACAGGAGCTATTGGGAGACATACAGCGAGGGGTACTGCGGGGGAGGGGGGGGTCAGACAGGGGCTCAGGGGGATGGCAGACTGGGGCAGGGGCTGAATGGGAGTGGAGGCACAGGGCCACTGGGGGGGAGGAAGGTGCAGGGCCACATGGTGATGGGAGGGGGGAGGTGCAGAGCTACATAAAGATGGGGGTGGCTGGGTGGAGGCACAGAGACATATGGGGACAGGGGGAGGGGTACAGGGACACATAGGGACAGAGGAGTGGCTGGGTGGGGGCACATAGACATTTTTAGCCCCAAAGATTTTTTTCAAAGTTTGTGAGCGTGTAAAGGATCGTAATTAGAGCTTATGTTTTTCAGGGTTTCTTTTTAACCATTTTTGAGTTTTACGTAGATGTCTAAAAATTGCAGGTTTTCGAGCTCTCTCTTTATATATATATTGTAATGAGTAACCGATTATACAGTAGTATATACTGTAATGAGTAATCTATTTGTAGTGTTCCATACTATGCTTTAATGTAGTGCTGTTTCAAATACTTAACGAACACAAGGAGGGTCTACACAAACCAATTAATGTGCAACACATTAGTGCACTTTAGAAATCACACTCCCTGTAGGCTGGTGAGTTTGCATCTGTTCACCAGCTCAAGGGATAAAATAATCAGCTACTTGCAAACCCTGTTTCAGCTTGCTGCGCAGGCTCTTTTACTCTTCTGTCACACAAATGCAAGGAACACAGAGAAGTAACAAAAGTGATAGTCCTGATCTGGACTGATACTGCTCTGGCCCCAGCACCTCAAGGGTCACTGCTGTTCCTTAGTCTCAGGGGAACTGCAAGGCCCTACCAACCCTTCCTGTTGCAGCCTTCCGTTGCTGTCCAGCAAAAACTTTGTTTCTACTGGCCCTTCCTTTCACAGAGCTGGGTCCTCACTTATGTCTTCCAGCTGGAAATCAGAGCCAATTGTTAGCTACTTTTTAGCTGGATCAACTGGTACCCAACACCTACCTGGTGGGCTTCTCCATAGGTCAGGGCTCACTGCTCCCTGGCTCCGTAGGCCTTAAAGGGGTAAATTGCCCTGCTACACCCCTGTGGTCTGTATTACTGCTTCATGTAGACAAGCCCCTTAGACACAAGTACCCATTTCCAGCATTTATTGGATAAAACACCAATATTTCTTTAGTTTTTGTATCAAGGTTGTTTTATCTGTGTGTATTGGTTAAACCAAAAATCAGAAGCCCTAATCATAATGACACAGTTCACCCAAGGCATAATTTGACTAGTTAGGGTGAAAAATACCTACATTACCCCTCTAACAAATCTATGCCCGCTACAGTTTAAATGAATAAAAGTTTCACACTTTGTGTACTTTGTCACTGATAACATACTGTCAATTTTCTATACAATCTTTTTTTATAATACAAGCTGCCTTATTTTTCCTATACCTTATTTTCCTTCACTCCATTCTCCCTTCCTAAAACAGATCATGCTGTATCTTTTTCTACATTGTTTTCAATGTTATTTCCTCTTTTCTTCTTTCTTCCTTCAATTGCTATATCCCTTTCTTCCTGTGTTCTCTTTCTCCTATTTCTCTCCCAAAAATCTCTTTCAATGAACCCTATGTCGCTTATTTAAATGTATTCCACTACTTTTTCCTCCCCCACTTGCACATACCTTCACTACCATTATTTCACTCACTTCTTCACACACAGGTTTTGAAAAATTTACCAGAACCAAACTGTCAAAGAATTAATCCACTAATCAAAGATTAATACAAAAGATTTCCTGCCACATAAACAGCATGTCCAGGAAAACACTGGTGAAAGGCCAACCTGTCTCTCCCCCACCCCTCTCGCCCTCTCCAAACGAATCCTGGGATTCCAATCATAGCCCTGGTCTACATTAGGACTTTAGGTCGAATTTAGCAGCGTTAAATCGAAGTAAACCTGCACCGGTCCACACAATGAAGCCCTTTATTTCGACTTAAAGGGCTCTTAAAATCGATTTCCTTACTCCACCCCTGACAAGTGGATTAGCGCTTAAATCGACGTTGCCGGCTCGAATTTGGGGTACTGTGGACACAATTCGATGGTATTGGCCTCCGGGAGCTATCCCAGAGTGCTCCATTATGACCGCTCTGGACAGCACTCTCAACTCAGATGCACTGGCCAGGTAGACAGGAAAAGAACCGCGAACTTTTGAATCTCATTTCCTGTTTGGCCAGCGTGGCAAGCTGCAGGTGACCATGCAGAGCTCATCAGCAGAGGTGACCACGATGGAGTCCCAGAATCGCAAAAGAGCTCCAGCATGGACCGAACGGGAGGTACGGGATCTGATCGCTGTTTGGGGAGAGGAATCCGTGCTATCAGAACTCCGTTCCAGTTTTCGAAATGCCAAAACCTTTGTGAAAATCTCCCAGGGCATGAAGGACAGAGGCCATAACAGGGACCCGAAGCAGTGCCGCGTGAAACTGAAGGAGCTGAGGCAAGCCTACCAGAAAACCAGAGAGGCGAACAGCCGCTCTGGGTCAGAGCCCCAAACATGCCGCTTCTATGATGAGCTGCATGCCATTTTAGGGGGTTCAGCCACCACTACCCCAGCCATGTTGTTTGACTCCTTCAATGGAGATGGAGGCAATACGGAAGCAGGTTTTGGGGACGAAGATGATGATGATGAGGAGGAGGTTGTAGATAGCTCACAGCAAGCAAGCGGAGAAACCGGTTTTCCCGACAGCCAGGAACTGTTTCTCACCCTAGACCTGGAGCCAGTACCCCCGAACCCACCCAAGGCTGCCTCCTGGACCCAGCAGGCGGAGAAGGGACCTCTGGTGAGTGTACCTTTTAAAATACTATACATGGTTTAAAAGCAAGCATGTGAAAGGATTACTTTGCCCTGGCATTTGCGGTTCTCCTAGATGTAGTCCTAAAGCCTTTGCAAAAGGTTTCTGGGGAGGGCAGCCTTATTGCATCCTTCATGGTAGGACACTTTACCACTCCAGGCCAGTAACACGTACTCGGGAATCATTGTAGAACAAAGCATTACAGTGTATGTTTGCTGGCATTCAAACAACATCCGTTCTTTATCTCTCTGTGTTATCCTCAGGAGAGTGAGATATCATTCATGGTCACCTGGTTGAAATAGAGTGCTTTTCTTCAGGGGACACTCAGAGGAGCCCATTCCTGCTGGGCTGTTTGCCTGTGGCTAAACAGAAATGTTCCCCGCTGTTAGCCACAGGGAGGGGGGGAAGGTTGAGGGGGTAGTCACGCGGTGGGAGGAGGCAAAATGCGACCTTGTAACGAAAGCACATGTGCTATGTATGTAATGTTAACAGCAAGGTTTACCCTGAAAGAGTGTAGCCACTGTTTTATAAAATGTGTCTTTTTAAATACCGCTGTCCCTTTTTTTTTCTCCACCAGCTGCATGTGTTTCAATGATCACAGGATCTTCTCCTTCCCAGAGGCTAGTGAAGCTTAGAAAGAAAAAAAAAACGCACTCGCGATGAAATGTTCTCCGAGCTCATGCTGTCCTCCCACACTGACAGAGCACAGACGAATGCGTGGAGGCAAATAATGTCAGAGTGCAGGAAAGCACAAAATGACCGGGAGGAGAGGTGGCGGGCTGAAGAGAGTAAGTGGTGGGCTGAAGACAGGGCTGAAGCTCAAATGTGGCGGCAGCGTGATGAGAGGAGGCAGGATTCAATGCTGAGGCTGCTGCAGGACCAAACCAGTATGCTCCAGTGTATGGTTGAGCTGCAGCAAAGGCAGCTGGAGCACAGACTGCCACTGCAGCCCCTCTGTAACCAACCGCCCTCCTCCCCAAGTTCCATAGCCTCCACACCCAGACGCCCAAGAACGCGGTGGGGGGGCCTCCGCCCAACCAGCCA